TAATTAATAAATGAGGGGTGGGAATGGGCAGGATCCCCTTTCCAAGGATGGGGAGCTTCCCACGTGCCCCTCCTGATTCCCACGTGTCCATCCCAATTCCCACGTGCCCATCCCACCCATCCCAATTCCCACGTGCCCATCCCACTTCCCACCCCACTTCCAAAGAAACATCCCAAGGAACGACGCTCAGGTTTAATTAACGCCCCAATTAACATCCCGGGGTTTAATTAACGCCCCAATTAACCCCTCCAGCGGAAGGGAGAGCGACCCCAATCCCAGGGCTGGCAGGGCCCAGCATTCCCGCCCGGAATTCCGTGGGAATGTCCGTACCTGCTTCCTTGCGCGCGCGGCCCCGTCCCTTGGTCTGGGCGATGACGATTTCCGTCTCCTCCTGGCTCATCTCCGAGATCTTCTGCAGGAAAAGCTTCTCCAGAGCCTCGGCCATTAAGACGATGTCATCCCCTGGCTGAGGGACACAGGGAGAGAGCGGGAATCAGGACGGGAGGGAACTTCCAGGTGGGAATTTTCAAGGGTAAAAGGCTCATGGGAGCGGCTCCGAGGGATCCGAACCCTTGACTCCCAAGGTTTTATAGGGAAAAGCAGGGAATGGGCAGGGATGGGGAACGACCCAACACAGAGTTGTTCTGTCTGTGCCAGAGGCGCTTTTCCAAGTGGGAGAGGGAAAAGAGGGATTTTCCTCTCTTTCCCCTCAATCACTTTGGGATTTTCCTCTATTGGGATTTTCCTCTCTTTCCCACACAATTCCTTTGGGATTTTCCTCTATTTCCCACACAATTTTCCTCTCTTTCCCACACAATCCCTTTGGGATTTTCCTCTCTTTGCTGCCTACAGGGAATTTTCCTGGAGGAGGCTGTGGATCCACAACAACCTCAACATTCCATAGATCCCTGGCTTTTCCCTACTGACTTCCTAAGACGATGTCATCCCCTGGCTGCGGGACACAGGGAGAGAGCGGGAATCAGGACAGGAGGGAAATTCCAGACGGGAATTCCTGGGGGAAAAAGGCCCACGGGAGCGGCTCCAAGGAATCTGAACCCTCAACTCCCAGGGATTTATAGGGAAAAGCAGGGAATGGGCAGGGATGGAGAACGAGGAATCCAAACCCTCAACTCCCCGGGATTTATAGGGAAAAGCAGGGAATGGGCAGGGATGGAGAACGAGGAATCTGAACCCTCAACTCCCAGGAATTTATAGGGAAAAGCAGGGAATGGGCAGGGATGGAGAGCGAGGAATCCAAACCCTCAACTCCCAGGGAAAAGCAGGGAATGGGCAGGGATGGAGAGCGAGGAACCCTCAACTCCCAGGGATTTTTAGGGAAAAGCAGGGAATGGGCAGGGATGGAGAACGACCCAACACAGGGCCCTGCCCGTGTCAGAGGTGCTTTTCCAAGCGGGAGAGGGAAAAGAGGGAAAAGAGGGATTTTCCTCTATTTCCCACAGTCCCTTTGGGATTTTCCTCTATTTCCCCTCAATCCCTTTGGGATTTTCCTCTCTTTCCCACACAATCCCTTTGGGATTTTCCTCTCTTTCCTACAAATCCCTTTGGGATTTTCCTCTGTTTCCCACACAATCCCTTCGGGATTTTCCTCTCTTTCCCACACAATCCCTTTGGGATTTTCCTCTCTTCACTGCCTGCAGGGAATTTTCCTGGAGGAGGCTGCAGATCCACAACAACCTCAACATTCCATAGATCCCTGCCTTTTCCCTGCAGACTCCCAAACCGGACCCAACTCGGTTTCCCAACAAATCTGCGGGAAAAGCGAAGGCCGGAAGCGACTCCGGGAGGATCCGACAACATTCTTGGCCCTGCTCCAAGTCAAACTCCAAGAAAACCTTCAAATATCCCTTCCAAGGGGGCGAAAAAAATGGGAATAATCCACGTGTGGCCTGAAGTGGTTGCTGGGAATTCCAAGGGGAGGGAAGGGCGAGGGGAAACCGGGATCCCGCCCGTTGAATCCGGAGTGTATTCCCAAGGGAGCCGAGCTCGGCAGAGGCTCCTTCCAAGGGAAATTCCCATTGGGAAAAGGTGGATTCAAGCCCTCTGTGGGTACCTTGTTGTAGATGTAGCAGTTTGTAAACATGGTGTTGAAATCCTGGATACATTCCTGGGCGTTCCAGTAGTAATTGTTCTCCAAGCGCTTCTTGATTGTTCCCATGTCCATCGGGGTTTTGATGATCTTGTAATAATCCTGGGAAAAAGGGGGGAAAAAGGGACAAAAATCAGCCTGGAAGGAAAATTCCAAAGGGTTGAGGTTCCTCTGGATCTCTCTTATCCCTGGATTCACCTGGATCCAATCATCAGATCACCAAATCCAACCATCACATCACCAAATCCAACCATCACATCAC